GGGGAAATAGTAAAAGAAAGAGGTACAGCATTCTGCCTCCCCCCGGTAATGTTTTAGGGAAGGGGTACACCATTCTGCCCCCCAAGGGTAATAGTGTAAGTGAGGGGTACATCTCTCTGTGCCCCCATCCCCAGGGATTATAGTATGAAAGAGAGATGCATCATTCTGCCCCCCCAGATTAACAGTGCAAAGGAATGGTACATAATTTTGTCCCCAGGGGTAATAGTTAAAGGGGGGGGGATACATAATTTTCTGTCCCCAGTGTTGACATTGTAAGGGGGATACATAGTCTCCCTGCAGGGATAATATTGTAAGAGAGGGGTACATCATTCTGCCCTCCCGGAGTAATATTGTAATTACATGGGGTACATCGATATGCTCTAGTGTAAAGGAGGGGTACATAGTATCCTTCCCGGGGTAATAGTGTAAGGGAGGGGTACATGCTCTCCCCCTGGGGTTATTTTTTATTTCTGTAAGGGATACATCATTATGCATTATTCTGTGTCTGTAAACAACAAGGGGTCTGTTTATAAACAATCACCCTGTGAATCTCTGTGAACATTCATTTTGTGCGAATAGAGGCAACCATGAATACCTTTTAGTATATTTTTTTCCGATCGATTGTAATACGACATTATGGCCACTAGATGGAGCTGAGGAACGAAGAAATAAATACTTATTTTTCTATGCCCCTCAGCTCCACCTAGTGCCCATAATGTGGTATTACATTACATCCAATCTGGAAGACATTATACTAAGAACATTTGTTTTTGTTTCTATTTGCACAGCATGAACATTCACAGAGATTCACAGGGTGAATTGTTTGTAAGAAGGTTCCTAACGATCTAGTAGTTATTGTCAGGAAGACACTTCGGGAGCTTTAGAAAGACTAATGCCAATATGCAAAGGTGGATAGACTTACGGCTGCAGTATCTCCATAGGGCTTTATGTGCATATATAAATGTATACATATGTATAGGGTGCAGAACCTTCATATTTAATGAGCAGATATGGCTGCCCGGGTTCATATAGTGACTATATATAGAAATGACATTCCGATTAATATTATTTACACTCAGAAGATCTACCTATATCAGAAATGTCAGATTTCCTAATGTGGATACAATCTTTGTCTCTTCCCTCCAGTCCTACAAGATCATCAGCTTTGCTCCCACGTTGCTGCAGATCATCGTGTCCGATCAGGTGGAGTTTCCTGTGCGACAGGCGGGTATGTGTGTACTTGTTATCCATAATTTCTTTGCTTATGTCAGTCAGGGCTCGTTCACACCATCTGCGTTCAGGATGCGCTGGCTGTTTTTTCCAGAGCACCCCGAAGGCAACCCAACGCAATTCTGCTCGTCATGGATGGTGATGGTTCACACCACTGCTTTCGGTGGTGTGTGCTTAAAAAATGTACAGCATGCAGTATAAGCGCACTGCAGTGAGATGTGGTACAACCTCATCACACTGTGGTCACCCCATAGAACTTGTGACATTTCAATAAAGTTTAGAAAATAGTGTGATGCGGTTCGAACTAGTTTGTTGGCACTGCACGGGCACACGCACCCCAGCAGACGTGCGCTTGAGCGCTTCTGCTGGTGTGAACAAACCCTTAAGGTGTTCATATGATATACTCCTACACACAACAATCTAATTGTTATATTGTTTCCAGGAAAGAAGGTATAGCACAGAAGTTTCTCGCAACAAATGGCCAATTCATTCTATAAACAATCACTTTCATTGGATATGTTCTGTAATTGAGATCCACTTTAATGAGCTTTTCTGCCATAGCTGCCATCTACTTGAAGAACATGGTGACCCAGTACTGGCCTGACCGAGAACCCATGGCAGGAGAAGTCCTCTTCCCATTCAACATACATGAAAACGACCGCCAGCAGATCCGTGAGAACATTGTGGAGGGGATCATTCGCTCGCCCGACCTTGTGAGGTATGGAGTAACCTTAACTGCTGATTTATCAAAGCTTGGATGAAATTGCTTCTGGAGCCCCTGTCGCAGAATAAGAGTGTATTTTGCATGACCTCGGTACAATACGGGAGATCTGATCTTCTCCTCCGTCTTCCCTTTGTTACCATTTCTGATGTTAAAGTGACATTAAACCCTCAGATTTTTTAACATAAACCAATACTGTAATCTGCGCCTTACTGTAATCCATGGTAGTTTCCCTTCTCTTTGCTGCTCTTCCTTTTAAATCCGTATCTGTTTTCATGCTCTGCAGAACTTCTGTTTTGCAGCAGACTGCCTTGTCTCTGGAATGGATACATGGTGTCTGTGTGTAGGTTCACAACCTGAGCCAGCACTACAGGAAGAGGCAGTCTGCTGCAAAGGGAAGTTCTCCCCCAGCATGAGAACAGATACAGATTTAAAAGGAAGAGCAGCAAAGAGAAGGGACACTACCATGGATTACAGTAAGGCCCACATTACAGTATTGGTTTATGTTAAAAAATCTGAGGGTTTAATGTCACTTTAAAGGAGAGCTCTGGGCAAATCAAATCTTAACCCTTGCAGTGGGGCTCCCCTGGCATTGCAAGGCTTAAGTGCTCCTTTTGTCTGAGGAACTAAAATAACAAAGATACACTCAGCCTTTACTATGGTCCTGGCTGGCTGCCAGACCTCTGCAGTGGTCACAGGCCTGTGGGTCATCATGTGCAAATTGCAAGGGTTAAGATGGGATTTGCTCGGAGTTCTGCTTTAAAGTTCAACTGAAGGCAAAACTATTATTTTACTTCTGGACAGAGTGAAGCATTGCATGCTCAGTAAAGCCACACTGAACTTTCAGATTCAGGGCCTGTTCACACCATAGCGTGCGGTGCCATGCTCTAGGTGTAATGCGTTGCCATCCATTTAACAGGCACCCCAGGGCAGCTCCTGAAAGCCATGCACTGTAGCGTATTATGTTGTGCGGTAGGGAAAAAAGTAGTACATGCAACGTCCAGCCTGCACACAGCCGCTGTCAGGTACGTTGGGGTGCCATTCAAATTATTCGTAATGCACATAGTGTGCACTAAACACACAGTAACATGCCCTTAGTGCAACGCTATAGTGTAAATGAGTCCTAAATCCACACAATGAGGGGAATTTATCAAAACTGGAACAGACAGAGCCTGGAGCAGTTGCCCATGGCAACCAATCAGCTTCTCTCTTTAGTTCAGCTAAAGAAGAACTCCGTTCATGGTCAGAGGTCACCAGATCTACCTGAGCAGCGTCAGTTAATTTGACAATCTCTCTCTGACTACATTTGGATACTTTTTGTTTAGATGCTCTTTGAATGCTTTGAGGGGAATTTATCAAACTGGGGCAGACAGAACCTGGAGCAGTTGCCCATAGTAACCCAATAGCTTCTCTCTTCAGTTTGTAAAGTTAAAGAAGAACTCTAGGCAAATAAAATCTTAACCCTTGCAGTGGGGCTACCCCCGCACTGCAAGAGGTAAATGCTTGTTTTGTCTATGGAACTAAAATAACAAAGTTATACTCACCCGAATCACCTCCCAGATGGCGGCTAGACCGGTCCTTGTGGACTGTCTCCTCCTCCACCCAAGTGATGGTAGGTCCCTCGCAGTTCTCACGTCCAATAGACTGTATAGGATGTAATGACTCCGGGACCATAGACCGCTGGAGCTGAGGGGGAGTTAAGGTTGAAGGGACTGGTCTAGCAACCAGCCAGGATCGTGGTTTGAAATAATATAACTTTGTTGTTTTAGCTCTATAGACAATACGAGCACTTAACCCTTGCAGTGCGGGGGTAGCCCCCCTGTAAGGGTTAAGAATTTATTTGCCCGGAGTTTTTCTTGAAGCTCTGAAATTGAAAGATAGAAGCTGATTGGTTACTGTGGGAAACTACTCCACATTCTGTCTTCTCCAGTTTGGTAAATTCCCTTCAAAGCTTTTAAAGAGCATCTAAACAAAAGGTATTCAAATGTAGTCAGAGGAAGATTGTCATATTAACTGGCGCTGCTCAGTTGGATCTGGCGATCCATGCATCAGTCACCTCTGCTCATGAAAGGGTTAAGGGGGACTCATGCCTTTAGATTGCAGGATTGATGAGCGGGACGACGCTTGTACTTCCTGTTCCCTATCAGATTGGTTAGCTTTGCCCAGCAGGTCCTTTGAGTCCACGTTTGCTGTGCCCTGTTAGTTTGTATTCTCTGTGTACGTGTTTTCTGTATTCCTTACTGGCCAGCACTCTGGCTTCTGATGTTGATATCGTAATGAAAGCTAATATAAGTACACCAGCTAATACAACATCTGCTGTTACTCAGGGCTCAGCTGACTCTCTGTTTACGTGTCATCATTAAACACGACTTCCCGGGGCGGTGGACCGGAGTGGTGGACAAGGTCGGCTTCTACCTGCAGTCCCAGAACACGGCCAGTTGGCTGGGCAGTCTGCTCTGCCTGTACCAGCTGGTGAAGACGTACGAGTGAGTATGACTTCCTGTCTGATAGATGGAGGGGAGTTGCCGGTATTGTTGGGGTGACCCAAAACAACATACGTTTTTCACCATGAAGCGTCTCCTGTTTCTTTCAGGTACAAGAAGGCGGATGAACGTGCCCCTCTCATC